GCCTCGCCATGGGGATCCCCTTGGGTCTTCAACCGGGCCTCTGTAACAGCCTCAGCCTCGCCATGGGGATCCCCTTGGGTCTTCAACCGGGCCTCTGTAACAGCCTCAGCCTCAGCCTCGCCATGGGGATCCCCTTGGGTCTTCAACCGGGCCTCTGTAACAGCCTCAGCCTCGCCATGGGGATCCCCTTGGGTCTTCCGCCGGGCCTTCCTCAGGTTGTCCAGGGGGGGGTCGGGGAGAAGGGCGATCCAGTAGGTGTGGACCTGCTCCAGGTGTGCGCGGGTGAAGGAGGGGTAGGGGCTGAAATCCCACTCCGAGAGGAGCGCCGTGATCGCTGCATAACTCGGCAAGGGTCGGACGGAATGAGGGCCGTTCAACCCCTCCGCGGTGGGGCCATGGCAAGGATGGAGTGCGTCATAGGAATCAATTGTACCGTTTTTGTTGATTTGAGCGGTGAAAATAGCCGGGAAAGTTGTTTGTGGTGTGGGAAAAGAGCTTGAATGCGTACCGGCAGACTGCATTGCATCAACGACTCTGGATACAATACAGACTCAAAAGCGTAACAGAAAAAAAAAGAGGGGGTAATGAAATGAGAAAAATAGAGAAATAAAACCATCAAAAAAATGTTAGACATAAAAATGTGAAGATGGATTATACACTAGGATTTTTCCTATTTACTTATATATATATCAGAACTAAATAGTGCTCATAAGATACACACATTTCACCGATTTTAATATTCGATACGTGTTTGATCTAAGAGTTTAATAGAATTTCTACTGGCTAATAATCAAAAAAGATAAATAATATTTTTAAATTAGGATATAAAAACGTAAAAAGTGCTTAAAATATACTCACATAAATAGCTACCGTCAAATCTTTTTTATTAGTTATTAATATGAAATCAAGTAATATGCAGTAAAGCTGAATTCGGAATAGCAGCAGGTAGGCTATTTCTATAAGTGCTCCTAGATAAGTAATAAAATAAATGACTAAAAGAGTGTCTTATAATCCTCTTCAGGCATTTCTATCCAAAGGCTCAACCAGAACCTTTGCTTTTGGGCGGAGAAGGGACTCCGTGGAGTCCGTAACGCGCAGCTCACGGGCGCTTAGCGAAGCCTTTTCCCCACCACAGCGCTCGTAGGTCGTCTTAATCAGATCCTGTAAAACTGACATCGCCTTCCCCACCGCCGTTTCCAACGAATGGTTATGATAAAAGGCCAACAACGAGGCGCCGAAAATATCACCCGTTCCCGTATAATGCCCCTGGAAACGGCGGAGCTTCCCGGTGAACATCTTTGGTGGGAGCACTAGCGAGCGATCCTTCGGGTTTCGTTCGGCGATGGATACCAAAAATTGGAGCTGCGAAGGGTCGTCGAGGACTGGGAAGGATTTAATCACCACGCAGGCGGTTCCTTTAGTGTGGAACCACTCCGCGGCCGTGATGGCGGACGACAAATCCTTCACATCGACCCCACTGAGGACGGAGGCTTCGAAGTAATTCGGCGTGAGCACGTCCGCGATGTGTAGAATGCTCCGGTAGGCCTCCACGACCTCGTTCTTGCAGTACAGCACGCCGTTATCGCCCAAGACCGGATCGCAGATGTAACGCAGCTCCCCCAACCCAGCCTTCTGACGGCTTTCCCGAATCTCATTGACGGTTTCACTGAGATAACAAACAATCTCTTTATTGTTAATATAGCCCGAGAGGAGATAATGATAACTTTTTAGAAAGTCATTCCCGCGGAGCCCTTCCATCAGCACAAGGTATTCCGCCAGGTCCATACGGTGGCCACGGATGATGGGGTAGCCGCTGTGGTTGGAAAGGCTGACGGTGTTCACCGGATCCACGTCAAAGCCGTGGACCTGCAAGGGAAAGACTGCAGCTTTGTTCCCAACATACCCATGCGTGACATGGGATTGAATTGAAAGCACTGTTTTCTCAGTTTCCATCTTAATATAATAACAACAATTTTTTTTTATTTGTTTTTGTTAGAATATATTATATGAAGCAGAGTTTAGCACTTGAAGAAAATATCGAAACCTTAATATCGTATAAGCTATCGTGAAATTTAAAAAAAGAGTAAACTAAACGCTTTGAAAAGTAATTATAAGAATTATATTGTTTTAATTTCCTTCATCAGAAATAAATAATTGAATGCAAAAAAAAAAAAAGGGAACAAACAGAGCACGAATGAATACTTTTTTAACCAACACTAAAGTAAAAAATGAGAAAAAAGATTGGTTTGCATCTATCCTTACCTCATTGAAACATCATTATTTTTTTGATAAAATATGTACACTGGTAGATATAAATATAATAATCTTTATCTGTCATGTGTAGAGACAAATATTCAGAGGATATATCCCTCCTTTTGGACTAATATTACATTCTAAATAATATTCCACCCTGTATAAAACGAACACAAAAAAGGACAATCTTCTTTACATATGTAATGTGAAACCTCTCCACATCCTTCTAGCTTTGGAAAAAAATCCCCTCCTTTGACTTTTTGAAATTCACCTAGTTTGAATTTATCCGAGAACACTGTCTAAAATGGATCGTTAGACAAACAATCGAAGATGCACCGATAAAAAGAAGAGGGAGCTCTCACTTAAGCGCTAAAAGTGATTTTCCCCAGCTCGGCAACTTCCATGTTGTCTTGAGAATACTAAAGAACACGTCATCCTCTTCGATGATTGAACTTAGACCGTTGTAGTAATCCAGAAACTCCGAGTACGGGATCATGCCCCAATGTTTCTGATTTTCATCCCACAACGCCAAAAACCCTTTGAGAAGGCTCGTCGCGGTGAAAAGGCCATCCCGCACGACCATCGGATGCTCGTGCGCGTTAAACCGCGCTTGAATATCCAAAATCGCGATTTGCCCGTCCTGATCGAAATCAAGCTGGCAAAAAACCATCCACACGGCCTTTTTCCGGGCCTCGTTCATCGTCCCGCGGATATAATCCATAAAGACGTCGTAATCCACCCCTTTCGACTCCCCAAAATTGTCTACTTCGTCGTGGGGAAAGGCGTTGTAGATCGCCTCGGCGACGCTGCGGATATCGTTTTGCGATCGGGTAGAGTTGGAAAGGGCCGTCGACGACCACGAATGCCGCGAGGAGGCGAAAGGATTCACCCCGAATGCGTGGGAATCCCGCACGAGGGTTTCGATCCCCGGGGATAACTTCATCCACCGCCGGCCATCCGCGGAGACCTTGCGAAAAGGCCGCCCCATCGCTTTAATCCCGATCTCAGGGATGCTGCCGCCGATGTTCGCGATGTAGGCCTCGCGAAGTTGCGAAAGAATGGTGCGAATCTCCTCCGGCAGCCTCACCGGAACTCGTTTTCCTGTGGAAAGCAACATAGTCGATGGATTATCCACAGAACTATTCAAGAACTTCGGCATCCTCCCTGTATGGCTGCGTAAATTGCTATTATCGATGGAGATGATTTTATAGCGTTTAATATCGTCATCACGTTGGTTATGGGGCGAGCCCAATAAAAGAATATTCCCCACATAAAAATCATCCGTGAGGTAGGTATTGCCTTTCTCATTAGTATACACATCCAGAGGAAAGGTCGGAAAGTGCTTCAGTACGGTGCGGCCCATGTTGCCGATGATCGAGCGCACCTCCTCGAGGTAAAAGGCATGCCAGCGAGGGTAATAAACGCCGAAGAAATAGCGCTGAACGTCTTTCTGGTGATGCGAAAGCTCCTCGCAGCGAAAATGAAGAAAATCCCCGACCTCGATTCGAGCAACTTTGCTGTAAAGCGAAGCATCCATACGAACCGACATTGCGTCTTCGCGTATTTTCACCTTTCAGCTTCCTAATTATTTTTACTTTTCCTAGTTTAACAAATGGAATAATAATTAAAAATGTTTTGAAAAAGGAACATTAAGAAATTTAAGACCAATATATTTAAAAAACACTAACGTAGATGATGTGTAGTAAGCGTTATATAAATAACTTCCTATATTATCGATACGTTGTATACATATCAATCAACACCGATATGTCGGTAAAGTTATTTTTTTATTAACTAAGGGTAGTGCTCAGAGTTCAAAATTCGTTTCACACTTCCAAAAATGATATTAATGACGACGCAAGATTACTCTTCCAGACTTAAACGAAAGAAAATAGATTAAACAAGCTGAAAGTAAAGAAAGGCCAGATGAAATAAAGGAATAAATTTGTACAGAATACCTGATAAACTTTAAAACCACTTTTAAAATAGTCAGCATATGCAGATTGTGAAAGAAATAATAGCAGCGTGAAATAACATTCAGAGCTCGCTATCAACCTTTTCATGTCCCAATAGTTGGGATTTTAACGACTTAGTAAGCGCCTTTGTGCTAGGTATATAGCTCGGAAAATTAAATACTAAACGGGTTTCAAAAGTATCTTTTCCGCGCTATAGGACACACATTATCATCTGGCTATTGATTCTTTACTTTTAGTTTATCTTTACACATCTTCTTCCTACTTCATTTTCTCGTTAGTATTGCCTTTCTTTCTAACCTTTGGGTTTGTTATTCACTTTCGAAACCAAGCATTCTGCAGTTGAGGTTGCTTCTTCTTTTTGGTATGAATATTCCTCATATTATCACGCGGCAGCGAGGGGTACAGGCTTTCCGAGTTGAGCGCGCTCCCTAAGGTATTCTTCGCGTCGTTTAAAGATTGTAAGGGTATTGTCGTAGTCGATTCTCCTCCTCCAAAAGAAGGAGACGAAAAAGCGTATGATTCGCCTTCAACGCTATCGTAAGGCACATCCTCCAAGGCTTCCGACTCGCTGTGTCCGAGCTTGGATTTAATATCCGAACACATCCATGCGTTCTTCGCCCCCGGTGGAGGCTTTGGATTTGGCTTTTTAGAGGCTCCTCGTCTGGTACTGATGCTATTTAGCAGCGCTGCTGTGCGTTTTTCCTCTTCCTTCTTTTTAGCCTCACGCTCATCCCGCTCCTTCGCGCGAGCTCGCCTCTGAAGCTCTGGGGCCATTTTGATCTTCCATATCTCACATAGAGCGCGCTTTTTCATGAAGTTTGGCATTGTTGCCACCAAAAGTGGAAAGATCGCATTAAATATATCAGTTTGAGGAAAAATAAACTCCGAGATCGTATTATAATACTCAATGGCAAAAATCTTGGAATCCATAAAGTTTCGCGTGAAGTTGCGGAACCGCGCGTAATCAACTGGAGAGGTTAAATTTTTACTAACAAGTTCGTCCAACCGCTGCGCCTGCTCAGCTGGATCGGAAGGAATATGGTTTCGTTGCAAATACGACTCCACGCTTTCTGGCATACTGAAAGCGCAGTCAAAATCACGCCCTTCGACGCCTTTATTCCTCTGCGTAGGGCTGGTACACTCATGGGGGCTGTTGCTACACAGGTGATCGGGTGGCCATACGAGAACCTTCAGCACATTTGGATGGTGAAAATGAAGAGGTAACCCATTTTCTAAGGGTGCGTACACATACGCTTTACCTGCTCCTCCTTTAGAACTACAGGTGTGATTGTGCCATTTATGCTTTCCGCGCGTATTGGATTTCCTTTGGAAGAGATCTACAACTTCCTTGCGAAATATGTGATCAAAAGTGATTTGAATGGCATTCATATTCGACCCTGTTGACAACCCGAACGGATTACTTGAAGCAGCCTGCGGAGCAGTAGCTCTTCCTCCTCTACTAGACACATCATTGCCCTCTGTTAGTGCACCGAAAGTTGCTGGGGTAAACGTCAGTTTACACTTAACATTGTGCATGCGCTTTTTATGGAGCATTAATTCGAAATCATCTGCAAATACACGAAGCATGATATCAAGATTCGCGCAATCAGAGTGCTCGCAGATTTTATGGCACTGTACGAAATGCTGATCAAGTTTTTGGCGATTTTCATAAAAGGTAAAGGTAAACTGTCCACGATTGCAAACATCGCAGGTGTAGTGGTGCTCCTGCATATGTTTCAGCAACGCCTCGCCGTCATAGAGCCGAACTTCACGGCGTAAACGAGAGCAAAAACGGCAGGGCGAATGTCCAATAAAAGACGGACTATCCGACTGGCAAATCCCTTCTAAATGCTGCTGTAACGCCACCTCGCCGTAAACCATTTGTTCACATAAAAAAACAGGCCGACTCTTTAAGCAAATATCACAGTACGACATCCCATGCTCCCTCGCCAGGTGATCCTTAAGGCTGCCAAACTCGATAAAAGGATCCTGTTCGCCGTCCATCCAGCACCCCTCGATGGGACAGAGGTTTTGATAGAGCTTCTCCATCTCGTTCGCGAGCTCTTGGCCGTCAATAAGGCAGTTAAGCCGTTTATTAGGCATGCTTAATGCACTAAGGGCGGCAATCTCCTCCGCGGTATAGTGATCCTCATCCTTGCTGATCGTCCGAGTAAGGATTACTTCGCTACTTCGGACCCGGCAGACCGGGCAGCCGCCCTCCCCGAGTGTGTGGATTCGCAGCCCGCAGGCGTAGCAGGCATAGTGTCCACAGCTGAATACGCACACCACCCGACAGGGTCCCACACAGATGAGACATTCCAGCGCGCCCCTCGTGTCATCCCTCGTGGTAGGACTGGGGCTCGTGCAGGGATGGTCCTGATGCTGAAATCTAGTCTGGAGCATTAAGACGATGTCAGAGATGTCACAGAACTCAGAGATATAACTGATGTCAGAGATGTCACAAATGGCAATAAGGTGTCGCCTTCAAGAAGAATGATACGAAGAAAAGCAATTACCAAATGAAGCGGGTTAAATTAAAAAAAGAGAGTTATGAAATCAAAAGGGAAGGTAGGGTTGGGAAGTTATAAACAAATCGTCGGCTACCAATTCCGCTTTTGAGGGTAATTTGGGGGATATTATTAGTTATTTATCTGCTCCAGTGTATCTCCTAGATATACTGAAAACGTGAAAGAGAAAAGATGGTAGAAGATTAAAATCCTAATTCTCAAAAATAAAATCAAACTTCAAGCCTTAAACCAAACAATACGTCAATGAAACGGAGGTCTAATCCCCATGTATATATACCTGAGTATATGTAAAATATGACTTAAGACTAGTATTGGCTACTGTGTTATTAAGAAGTGGATTATTGAAATAGTTGAAACGAAAAAGAAGTAAAATAAAATATGAAAAAAAAGATGCATGGAATACCATAATAAATATGATTTCATTATAAACGTAGTAATTTTTAATCATTTCAAGTATACATAAATATATATATAATGTATGAATATATTTTTGAAAAAAAGATGTTAAACTCACATTCAATAGGTTATATCATAATACCATTAAAAAGGCAATGTCTAGGATTAATAAATTCGCGTAGGAAATTCTGTTCATAATGCCCAGATAAAGTGCTGAAACCAAACTATCGATATCAATAATAAATATCCAAAAGCAGCAATGAGAAGCTGAAGTAACTCTGAGCAGCGCTAAATGTCATCCTTGGAGGGTAAAATGTCCATCTCGGCCTTTAGAGGGCATAAACGGGAAGCCCAGTCAAAACAAAGTAGTAGCTGAATAAATAAACGCTTCGTGATAAAAAAATATGGTAAGAGGAAAAAGGCATATGCATTTGAATCCTCACATACTACCTTATTAGGTAAAATTCAACCCCGAATAAATATGCTTTAAATGTATGCTATTATATATCTTTTTCAGCTTGTTGGCGAATCAGAAGCTTACTAAAGGATCATAACATGATTTTTTTCTAATGTGAAATGAAAAGTCTGTCCAACAATTTGTTAGAAATTTCAAAAAGAAGTGGTGTGAAGAGGTGTTATATGGGTGTATGCATTAAATATATACCGCATGGCAAACACCCTAAGAAGGTGGAAACTGGTAAAAATTCAACCCAAAGTTTTAGTAAATTAGTTGTAGTTGTTTTACTTATTCTCCGATGATATTATCATAGCGTCAATAGCAATAAAAAAGAGAGAATAGCGTTAATAACACATCAATTGTTGTATTTAATCGCAGACCTAGCCAGTCATTATCTATTGAATACTTCATTTTAAGGAAAGAGAAAAGAAAGACCCACACCCCAGCCTCTTATCTCCTCTTACCCTCTTCCTCTTTTCTCTTTCTATTATACGCCGATAGGGAAGATGACACCAACGTTATCACTTCGAAGGAGAATCTTCCCTAGCGTGGTGGTCTCCTTTCGCTTTGTATTTATTTCCACCGCATCTCCCAACACGACGTTCATGAATTCGTCGTATCCAAGTAAATTACCTTCTATTTTTGTTTGTGTATTATGCACAAGCCACACGCACACCCGCTGTTTATCTTTCATAAATTGATAAACCAAATTAGCGGGGCTAATCATTTGCTTAGTAATAGATGTACTCATTTTTGTGTGTGTGTGAGTTTAAACTGTATTTAGTATCTTACCTTTAAAAATGATACAAGCTCTACTGGGTTAGGTTTTAGGTCTTAGTAAGATTCACTCAATAGGCAATAAGCAGCCTAAAAAAGAAAAGAGGAAAAGCTTTTAAAGATAAAAAATATAAAATTGAACAATCACAACGATAATATTGTAAGCGCATACTTTAGATTGGCATATGATGAATTCATGGGTAAATATGTATAAAATTATGTACGTATATATTATAAAATAGATGTGCAACTTGTAGACCATGTTCGGCAGTTATTTTACCTGCAGCTCCATTTTCTTTGAAAATATAAAATTCCACAAATTTCATGATATCCTTGTAATAGTAATACATCATTCATTTATGTGCATATTGTTTAAAATTCTGAGAAAAATATAAATATTTGTACCTCTAGATCATATTAATAAATGGTATTTAAATATTTTTTATCTCTTGATTGTAAAGTATTAAAAATAAAAGAATTCATAAGGTAAAAGAAATAAATAAATTATTTTTCGTAATTTGAACATGATATGCATGGAAAATTTGTGTAGAAGGCACTTTTATTTGTATATAAATATAGTTTTTTTCATAAAAGTTTATATGCTCACGAATTCTGCTTCTTATTGCTTTTTGCTTTTGATATGAAGTTGAAGACAAAATACCTAAAAAAATTACTATGATACTTTTCAATACTAAACAAGGAATTAAATGGAAAATTTCATCCAATACTGACAAGGAGGTAAAATACCAAGAAGTAAAAGTTGCCTTCTTCAAAAGAAATGGTACCATGAGAATCAATACCACGGCTGCATTTCATATTACGGCCGTACATGAGTATGAAAGATTGCTTAAAGATGACGTATATAAATCAGACCATCTGGTGATGTGTGTATTTACTCTTAATATTTTCATTATAGCAGCTCACATTCTCAAAATATTGAACAAAATACTTCGTTAAATAAAAATTGTGTTGTGATGAAACAACATCAAAAAACTATAATAAAAAAGTGTGCAATTGGTGTCCATGCCAAAATATCTACACATATCCCTTTATTATTCCAACCATTACCCGGTAAAGGATTTCCTGAGCATAATATATATATATATAAAATGAATCTATATATACATACACCACTATTCACAGCATCGTATTCAAAGAATATAAAAAAAGATAATAATATAAATACTTAAATAGTGAAAAAAAGATCAATAATAATTTTCGAATCAGAAAGTAGGATACGGCAGATATTAATGATCTATGATTGCAGTATGACAGAAATGATAACTGTCTGCTAAGAGCCTTGAAGTAAATCGAAAGGTTGCTACTTACAAGATCTTTCTTTTCTTTATTCCCACCGACTGTTATCATAGTTATTTACAAGAGGGCATGTAAATTTAGTGTCTTCAAAGGGTGAAGTTTTAGAAGAAAAAAAACGATCCATAATGCTAACAATTTATTTACATAAAGTCATCCTACACAAAGAGACCCTAACCCATCCCTCCCCAAGCGCTTACTCGTAAAACGCCAGGTAAACCTCCGAGGCGCACCCCCGCACCGTCCCTTCATCCACCACCGTCACGACGTCATCATCACAGCAAAACCACACCTCCGGGGCCGCCAAATCCCGCACGTAGGCGACGAAGTGCCCGACGTCGAGCGACCCGTAGTGCGTGACGATTCCCACCAGGCGACGCGTCAGCGTCGGCGTCCCGCGCGATCGCGCCCCGAAGGCGTCGAACTGCGCGTTCGCGATGACCGGCGGCCCATCCCTCGCCTCCCCCTCTCCCAGCCCGGTTGGCGAGCCTGTGGAGCTCCGCGGCGGCGGCGG